CCTCAGTTTGTTTCCTGAGATTAAGAGTCTCTTATGGTTTGTCTCCCTCTCTGGTTTCATCTTGTTTCATTTTTCCCTCCCTTCCCCTATGATCCTCTGTCTTGTTTCTCAAAATCCTCATATCAGTGAGATCATATGATATCTTTCTCTTATTGACTTATTTTGCTTAGCATAATACCCTCTAGTTCCATCCACATTGTTGCAAATGGCAAGATTTCATTTTTTGATGGCTGTATAATATTCCATTGTATACATATATACCACATTTTTATCCATTCATCTGTTGATGGACATCTAGGCTCTTTCCATAGTTAAGCTATTGTGGACATTGCTGCTATAAACATTGGGGTGCAAGTGCCCCTTCAGATCACTACATTTGTATCTTTGGGGTAAATACCCAGTAGTGCAATTGTTGGGTCATAGGGTAGCTCTATTTTCAACTTTTTGAGGAACCTCCATACTGTTTTCCAGAGTGTCTGCATCAACTTGCATTCCCACCAACAGTGTAGCGGGGAAGACATGAACAGACATTTCTGCAAAGAAGACATCCAAATGGCCAACAGACACATGAAAAAGTGCTCAACATCACTCAGCATCAGGGAAATACAAATCAAAACTTATATGAGGTACCACCTAACACCAGTCAGAATGGCTAAAATTAACAAGCCATGAAATGACAGATGTTGGTGAGGATGAAGAGAAAAGGGATCTTTCTTTTTCTTTCTTTCTTTTTCTTTCTTTCTTTCTTTCTTTCTTTCTTTCTTTCTTTCTTTCTTTCTTTCTTTCTTTCTTTCTTTCTTTCTTTCTTTCTTTTTTTCTTTCTTCTTTCCTTCTTCTTCCTTCCTTCCTTCCTTCCTTCCTTCCTTCCTTCCTTCCTTTCTTCCTTTCTTCCTTCCAAGTTTATCAACTTTAGACTCAAGGAATTAACAGGGATGGGTGCCAACTACACCAGACCCCGGGTTTTGTGGCTCCAGGGGCAGATTCAGCTACAGCAAACACGTAGGGAAATGGTGGGAGGGAAGGGGGCAGTTAGCAGATTTGGTCTTGAACTTGGAAGGTGAGGGGTGGAAAAGTGATTATCCTTGGGGCTTGGGAATGAGGAATAGCAGGAGCAAGCTGTATTAGAGGGGCCTGGGCAGGCCTAGAGAGGCAGCTGCCTACCCCTGGGGCTCATAGTTGAGAGGGAAGAGAAATGAGTCCCCCCCGCTCAGTGCTGAGGACAAGGCACTTTGCTCAGCCTCCTTCTGCCGCACCCCCTCTTCTTTATCTTCTTGAATGTACAGGATAAATTTATGGAGCTGTTATAAAATACTTTTTAATGGTTCTAAAATTTCTGTCACTAATGAATCTATTTCTATTCTTTTTAGAGTCATATTTTTCTGCTTTTTAGATGCTTTGTAATTTTTTTTTTTATTCGATGTTGTATTAGTCTTCTCAGGCTGCCACAACAAAATACTGGATACAGGATGGCTTAAACATTAGAACTTATTTTCTTAACAGTTCTGGAAGCTGGAAGCCCCAGTTCAAGGTCCAGCAGGATCTGTTTCTGAGAGTTCTCTTCTTGGGTTGAAGACAGCCACCTTCTTGCTGTGCAGTCAGTTCACAGTAGATGTTAAATATTGTTCTTTTTATGTTGTCTGTGGCTTGATTTTGTTGCAGCCCTTTAAATAGTGTAAATTTTTATTTTTGCCTAGTATTAGGTTACTTAGAATCAGTTGGACCCTATCTAGTTTTTAGCTGTGTTAGATACTTTATTCTTGAACTAATATGTATCACCACCAAGATGATATTCTTCTGAGGATTCTACCCAGTTCAGGTGTATTATGAAGAATTTTCATTCTGGCTGGGGGGAACATAATTTATTTTCAGCCCCCTGTGAGTTTTAGGAATTGTTCTGTCCAGTCCTTTTGGGTATTTTTTTGTTTGTTTGTTTGTTTGTTTTTCCCAAGTCTCTGATAGTTTCCTCTCATGCATGCATGGATTAGGACTTAGCCAAAGACTCAAGGGCATCCACTCTGTACATCTCTACGTCTCTCTCTGTATGTAACTCCTTGCTCAAATTCTACCCTCTGTGACATCTCCAAGTTTCAACTCCTCATTCCTTAACTCAGAGAGACTGTCAGGCTCTATCTGGGTTTACCCTCTTTGCTCTGTGACCTGGAAACCACCTCCAGGCGGTAAACTGCCACAGTCTTAGATCTCACCTCCAGTGTTTCCTTTCTTGCATGTATCACGCTCCTGCATTAGC